CACCTCAGTTCAATCCTTAAGTTTTGGTTTTATTTATGAGGAGAGCATGGGCACAAGAAATGTTCGAAACAGCTCACAAATCAGAATTAATTTGGCTGTTGGTCCGCAGTGAGTTTTAAATATAATTACATATCACCAGCATATTAATGCGATTTCAGATATTTTAAACGACCAGCAAGATCCGCGGTATAGACAGAAAACAATAAAAGGCTCAATATACTGCCTTGCGGAACCCCCTGTAACATTAGGAAATGGTGAAAATGTGAATTTAATTCGTTTTTGTATTGTACGGTACATGTTTGCGAAAGTGAATACAATTTGTACTATAAATAGAATTAAGAGATCATCTCTGGCCTTCAAGGTTCTCTGGTTGCGTTCAAAGTAAGTATATTTCACTTTTCTAACATTATATATACAATCAGAGCGATGGAAAGCTCGTTACTATTTAAATATAACACATTTTATTTTTCGACAGGTTTCGACAAAATTGACCAATCAGAAATTATAATATTATACCACGGTCGTTTTTACAGAAAAATTAAATGCATGATAGCTAATTTTCTGTTTGTTATATCTTTTTCCGCGTATCTAGTTAATGATGTTTGTGTACAATTTCTATTATTTCTTATCAATATCTGAGCTTTTTGTTCGTTGTCTGTTAACACGTTATCGTTGAAATTAATCGTAATTAACGTAATTTTATATTTGTGGACATTAACTGGCAATTACTTTTAATGGGGAGTTGGTACAAAAGCGTTTATTTCGTGTTACCATTTTTCGAATTTTTACTTTTTAAAATAAACAAAAAAGTATGTAATTAATTTTAATGGGGAATGCGGCAACCGCATGTTTTACGTTAGGTATAATTTTTTAAAATTTCGATAAACATTTTTCTGTCAATATGTAGCTAATTGTTAAATAATGAGCTAGTCAATATCGGCACACATTATCTACTGGCCACGGTAAACCTCTGGGCTGTAGTCTATATAGATTTTATCCAGAGTTGAAAGCCAGACGGCGTCCATGTAATCACTCGTTTACTATAAATTGTCTATTTCTAATTCGTTGTTGGAATTAAAATTTGGTTACAAACATTATTTTTTGTCCTTTTGTTATATGGTGTTGGTATGGTTCCTAATGGTCAAAAGGTTTCAGAATTACGATTTGTTTCGTATATCAAGCAACTTTTTTGTCAAAGTCAATAATTTATATATTTAAATTATATTTTTAAGCGTTGAAATCAAAACGTGTATAGCTTAAAGGTTATAGTAGGTTGCTGTCATTTGTGAAAGGATATTGTGTCAATTATTTTAGTATATGACTATTGGAACGAAGTAATAGGGATGTACTATAAAGCTAAATTTAGATATGAAAGTTAAATAACAACTAACAACATTAGATATCCCTGAACTACAAGTTAGTGCGAGGACTGGACTGTTCTCTCAGAGTCGAAACATTACAGTAGACGTTCAGTCAAGAAAGCATTGGCTTTTGAGGAAAATCGCCTTACCAGGATTCAATTTGCACGATATTTGAATTCGTCAGTTCAAGACCGAACAAATATTTTTATTCAGCGACGAAATCTGAAATTCTAACGAAATAAGGCTTCCAGTTAATACTAGGTACTAGTATCTTAGGATGTATGTTATGGAAGGACTATAGAAGTAGCACCGAAGAGATCATAGGCGCCAGGCTCTCCCCGTCAAGTCTGGTGACGTCTATGATCGAACAGGAGGGAAACTGGTTGGCTGTTACAACCTACGCACAGCGCCTTCCGAAAGATAAAATTTCAGAAAGGGACCAGTAGCCAGGAGTAGGCGCCGTGGGGCGCAGCACGGACCGGATTGATGTAATGCTAACGCGGTTCCAATCCAGTCCTCCCCGTACCATCTGCGGGGAGAGGCGAAGAGGAATGTTTTTTTAGTGGGTAAAAATCTCCACACTACCGCCTATCGATATCTGCCGCAAGATGGGCGGCAGAGTTTACGTTGACGGTGGCTTTTGAAGATATTTTTTCGTACCTCTTTACAAAAAAAAAGTATGTTACGCCGACAATAAAGCATGGAAGAGACGGTGTTCCTTTAAGGGGTTGTTTTTCATGAAATAGAGCAGTTCAATTACACTTTATAGATGGGGCCATGGACATTCTGGTTACATTATGTCGCAATATGCCGAGTGAGAGGGTGAACGACACATTTGGATTACAAGATCCTCAAATAAAAGTCTTTAATTGATAAAATTAACGAAGTTTATACGAATATGCCGATTATTACTATCCAAAACTTAATACTTTCAAAGTGCCGCGACGTTTCCAAAAAGTTAAAACCCTCCAACCCTATTTCTTGTGTTTAAGAATCTGGCTTCAATTAAAATTAAAAATGGAAAAAAATGAAAATTGTGTGCAACGGCTAAAATGGAAATTTGTCAAATGAGGAACAACCCTGAAAAAAAATTCGACGGGGCGCGTTAAACATCCCTAGGGGTCGAGAAATTAAATCATGATATTAAATCGGAACGTCGGCGTCGGTCGTGGTTTTCTTTAGGGTCCCCACGACGTTATTACGTTTCGACGAGGACTAAAGATTGGCGGGGACGGATCCGCACGGAAATGGAAGAATGCGAAATAACCCCCTCGGCGGGGGACCATGTCCCGAAACTACTTTGCGTCCCTGAGTGGGCTTCGTAGCGTCCCCTCGGGTATACGGGTCCCGAGGGCTGCGTCGAACGCGAAACGAAATCCTTCTTGCCCCGAGAAAATGCCGTCAGAAGGGGGAACGGGGGTGGGGGTGCGGTTATTTTATTTCGCATGAAACGAAAGCAAGCCGGCCGGTTAACAGGAACGAGTCGAAATCGAGAGGACATTTCTAATAATTTTGCACCTATAATAAATTATATTATTTATATTTAATATTTACCAGTTACTAGATGCAGTTCGCATAAAACTTAACGGAACTTAAAATTTATTTTGTCATGTTCACAGGACTATTTACTATACACGTAACTAATATATTTTGCGCGTTCTGGCGTATCTTTTTAACTAACTTCACGGATCGAGGCACATCGCATCAATAAAAGACAGCGTCCTCTCGCGACAAGGCAATACGTCAAGCTTATTCGAGAAGTTTTTGTTCAACACCTCTTGACGTATCTATTAAAATAAAGTTCTGATGGATTTCAGATGTTTTGGGAGATATTTCCCACATCTTAAATTTTGACGTTTGTCAATTCTGGCGGTCATGCCAGTGAATGTATTCGTGTTGTTTTACGAAAATATACCCAAAAAGTAACGGTCGTAGAAAAAGTATAGTATGCAACGCGTTCGGTAAACTTTTTAAGTTACTCGTTTTTAAACATTCGCTCCGCTCGTGTCAAATAAACTCGTGCGTCAAATGCAGTTTACCGCATTTGTTGCATAATATACTATTTTCTACCGTGCGAGAAATATTTCTAACTTTGTTTATGGTATTTTCATAGAAATAGAAATATAAAGGCTATTTAGCTATTTAATGAATTATAATGAGTTCGAGAGAAATATTGTTTACAACGTGCAAACAAATTTCGCGCGCTCTTTAACAATAACAGAAATTTACAAAATTATCAATAAAATTAAATTCAATAATATGACTTTTCATAAAAATGTAGTGAAATGATACTAAATGGTCTAATCGATATCTTAATCCTAACCTGACATATTCATTTGTTTTATAATTTTTTAATTATAATAGTAGTCTTAGTTCAAAAAATTAGAAATGAAAAAGAAACGTATATAGGCATCAGCATAATAATCACAATACAGAGATACTGTGATACTGTCATACTGTATAATGGTTTTGTTCATTCTATGCTATGCTATGTTTATAATGTGCATATTTCTGTTATCGAAATTTTAAAAATATATAAGTTTTAGTTTTGGTTAGTTTCAAGGGTGTGATCAGGACGAGCTTTTATATGAATTTGATTTTACCGAATTAAAAGACCGACTGGATAACGTAGACCTTTTTTACGATAATCTAATTCTTTTAATAGGAAATTGTGATTTTCTTTGTTTTGCATGACTACCTTATGTAATTTATTTGTCTTATATAACTTTATATGATATATGTATTTTTGTTTTTTTTTAGCTTTAGTTCTATAAAGAAATAAGTAATTAAATAAGTAAATACATATATTGTGCAAGTACAGAATATGAAGATTAGACTATGCAGGCAAAATTTTCAATTTTTTTGTACGTAACCTTCCTATATTGCCTCGATGATTGCCTTGGAAAATAAATACCTCAACCGATGTAGGGTTTTATTTATTTTCCACCGCTTTTTTTTTTCGCGCTCTCTCGTATATATGGTTGGGTCGGTCCCTGAGCTTTTGCTGACGAGTGTTTGCCGTGCTTTGTGCAAACATTGTGTGCTCTGTTTACCTTTCCAGTTCAGTTAAGGTCTGATTTTGCCAGTGCAGTGGATCGCGTCGAACGACGATGTTTTTCCGCGTAATTGACGTCCGCCGTAAATGGCCGTTCGGGATTTGTAACGTGTTCTGACCGGAAATTTAGAAGAAAAAAAGAACGCGTTAAATATACCATGGGAAAAAGTGCCGCAATTATTTCCGCGATAACAGTAAAAAAGTATCGTGGAAATATTCCTTTCTGGATTATCTAGAAGAAAAATCTAAATTCATAAACGGGAAAAAACACCACAAAGCGTGGAGGAAGATTCCAAAGTTTTGGTTGCAATTTAGAGGCATCATTTTGTCATGGTTCCAAAGTATGGGAAATTAGTTATAATTATTATATTATACCATATAATTTATATATAATTTTGTTACTGTTTCTCGTAGTTTTTCAACATAATCTCCGTTTAACTAAATAAATTTATCCCAACGATAAAATATGTGATTCACGCACTCTTCCGCGGCCATTTTTTTTTCACGTGCTTACTTGTTATAACATCCTGATTGATTTTTTAACTAAATACATTATAACATGTGTTTTTTGTTTGTTGTTTCAGACTGAGATTGCGAAGAGACTGAACGCGATTATCGCCCAAATACTCCCTTTTCTGTCTCAAGAGCATCAGCAGCAGGTGGCGACAGCCGTGGAACGGGCGAAACAGGTGACGATGACCGAATTGAACGCCATTATCGGGGTAAGTCGAATCGTTTTTATCGTCCCCCATCCAATAACCGTTCATTTTAAAGATATCTTTTACTTTCCACCTTGCAGTTAAGTGAATGATAATTTTTTATTTCCACTAAAGCAATAGACACAAATGCACAGCGCAATTACAATAATAAAAATGGGTGTTCGTAAAAAACTGATATCAGTAACGAAAATGTGTATAAATAATATCTGGACCGAAAACTACTCCTCGCAAGGGTCAAAAATTTTACTAGCACTTGTAGACGTAGTTGTTCATTCGAAGATATATATATATATATATATATATATATATATATATATATATATATATATATATATATATATATATATATATATATATATATATATATATATATATATATATATATATATATATATATATATATATATATATATATATATATATATATATATATATATATATATATATATATATATACATATATCTATTAGTAACTGTAATTTGAAGCTTCTAAGTTTCTGTTATTACAGATGAAAACAAAGTGGAAGGGCAGATAGCTGCCAGAATATTAGCGGAAAATAGAGCTCTTTATGCCATACAACACATGTTCAGTTATAAACTACTTAATGAAAAATAAACATGTAAAAGACAAATAGAAACCCAAAACAGAAGTCATTTGGCTAATTGAAGTCAGGGAATTCTAGTCTTTCAAATAGCTGAGGCACACCGCTTCTACCTCGATTTGCCTCGTTCGTTTTCGCGCTTAAGTGAATGAGCGCCTCAAAGGGAGGAAAGAGAGAAAATCTGTCGAACGAAAGATTCGCTTCAACGTTAACGACTCGTCCAAACAGAGTTATTCAAATCGTGACGTTAATTCCGTTACTCGGTGTATATTTTAGCGCGATTGTGTTCGTGGCGGGGTCGCTTTAAAGCCGAACCGCTAATTGTCTTAATTCGTTATATATTTGTTAAGTCGCCGACGTAGTCGGAGGCCCCGAGAATTCGGCATAGGGAACATTGTTCGGATTACTGGCGCTAAAGCGGACTGAGGGGAAACTAAGGGGTCGTTTAACGCCATTCCCGTTTCGCATGCGAATTTGCGCGATGAGATTATTAAAACGGAATAAAACATCTCCCGTTTTAATCGAGATCGTTGTTACATAATGCCGATTCGAGAGTCGTTATTTTAAGTAGATCGAAACGAGATAGCCGTATTTGTCCAAATGTTCATTTGTCCAAAGCGTATCGGAGCGTTCGGGGCTCGTTCGGGGAAGCGCGGGAGGGAGGCCGGCAAAGCGTTTCCGTGGAGAAATTTTCCTTGATAGAGGATAATTATGATTTGTTTACATTACATTCCTTTTAAAATACATCTGTTAACATTTACAGCTACTCAGTTTACAAGATTCAGTTGCATTTTAATTAATCAAAACATATCATAAATGTGTTTGTTTAAAGGTTCTCAATTATTTTTAATAATTCATTGCGGTCATAGTAAAATTGTATTTAGTAGGTACCTTTTACTCAGAAAGTCGCATACGGCGATTATCACGAATCATGAATATAAGCAATATGTTTTATCAATATTTTTATTCAATACTTCAGCTGCGACTATTTTGAGGATATGGTTGTAAATTAAAACACTTTGCAAAAAATTTACCAGCTACCTAGCATACCCAAGAATCGAATAGCAAAAATTACCTAAGTAGTTATCAGGATAAAAAGTATGAAAAAATTGAAATTGCATTAAAATTTTGGAAAGGAACAGCGCCTTATAAGATACCTATTTTAAAAGGTCAAATTCTAAAATAAATATCCCTTAGGTGCCAATGAAATATCTACCTACACCTTCATTGTAATAAGTTTAATAGAAGTTGTAAGTTTTTTTTAGCTTAAACAATAGTGTAAATTGTTGTTCTTCATATCATGTCCAATAACCTCTACTTTAATTTGTAAATTGTTACTTTTATTTTGTAAGTATACTGTATAGTGGAAACCACCTATAAAGATAATTAGTTAAAGTAAAATAATTTAACCGCATTTTATAAATTAATTTGATATCTGAGCCGTGTTTACACTTGTATTTTAACCTCTCTCTTTATTTGGATAAATGTTTCGGCCCCTTTCGGATGTTCGTCGCCGGTCGAAGCACGTGTAGGTTACCAAAAAATTATTTCGCAATTTTACCAGATAATAGTGTGATGAAATCAGGATGCTTGTATATCTATTTCTTCTAGTATTACGAAGACTAACTGACACTCGCATTTTTTTCTCATAATTCCACTTATTTTACAGTAACTGCAAAATATGTTATAATCGAAAAAGGAAAAAAATAATATCACTTAAGTAATATTCACTAATCATTCACTAATTAAAAGTCAATATTTTTTTTAAAATTTATTTGGCTTATTTGCGTTGTTGCGTTGACAACTTAATGATATAAAGAAAGACTGCGTCATTTAAATTTAAGTCGTTTTCTTAATTTTGTTTTTATTACTTAATTAAAGCTTTCGTCAACATAAATTAAAATTAGTATTAAAATTGTTGATCGATATATGTGATGGTACTGTTTAGTTAACTGTGCCTAATTATACCCACGTTCATTTCATAATATAGGCACTACATAATAAACTGGAGGCAAAATACGAAAGGATCGATTGTTTTTCAAGTCCAGGTGTACGGGGTGCTACCAATGCGTTAATAGATACAGCATCTCTTAAGTTAAGGGAAACTTAATGTCATTGACTGTTAAGTACGAACAATTGTTTTTCGTACGCATGGCAACTTCTTTTAGTCTCTTGCTATTTCGGATATATCGCACCACCAATTACATATTCCCGTAAATGGATATTTTATTTTGTATTTCACCGGTGTTGTTTTTGTTTTCTTAAAATGCACAGCTCTTTGGAAAAAATTCTTTCTTTCAATGATTACGGTTTATTTTATTCCATTTACAAACAGTCTCTGATGACGACTACGTCATAATGAAGGCACCAGCAAATGCCATAAGAATACGCTTGATATCATTGCTATCGTAATCGTCATTTTTCCTGAATACTATATGTACTTCTTATTTGTCTTTAGTGAAACTTAATTAGAAGGTTATGTATATATTATCACAATTAGGGTATATAATTAAAAGAACTTGGCTAAGTACACAGGTCAGAATATGTAAAAAAAAATGAAATTGAAAGAAAATTCTAAATTACGCTAATCTTCGTAGATAAATTAATAACATATCAAAGATCATTATTATGTTATGACAGTATTAGAAATCTTAAAATTTATGTACTACTTTGTGCTACGTGCTAGCTCAGAAGTTGGTAAAATAAGATGCTGTTAATTTGTGAGATCCAATACCTTTGACCAAGTCGATAATGAAAACACTCTAGAAGTCAGTCTGGACAAGATGGTATTATTTATTATTGTAATTGTCACCGATAAATAAGCTAAATCAGGTCCTCCAAATAATTCAAAACATGTTTTGACTCCAACTTGCAAGTTGTCTTACAGGGGATTTCATATATCACGATGGATAAATTCCACATTGGAAAAATTATGATTTCCAACAGCTCCTTCTTGACAGAACTGCTCCTGTTATCGTCAGGTCAAAGATAAAATCAAAGTCGAAAAGTAAATGACATCTGGGATAGGCTAGATTCAATATTGGTACTTATCCGACCACGGAATATTAAAATTTAGATAAAACATCAACTCTTAGTTAACCACTGGTAAAAACGTGGTTACACTAAAACTAACCAACCAAATCGCTTTGTTTTACTTTGCCTACCGATAACTAACCATTAAAAATACTATGCAAATCTAGTGAAATGTCAAACAACATAACCAAAGACGTTTTCGGGAAATCAATCGAATTATAAAATGAAAATTGATGATTATATTAATTAGACGGTCTTACAAAAGTACACTCAGCTCCAAGAGATATACGAGGAGAGTTGAAAATTCGACTCCACATAAAACATGACTAAACTTTAATTTTGTTTATTTCTGATTTTAAATTTAGAACTGGGAAGAAATTACGAATATAGTGGTACCGTTACCTGTTTGAAACGAATCCATTACAGTATGATTAATATTTCCGTGGATAACCAAGTAGTAGGATTCCAATTAAAAAAAATCATTCATTATTTCTTTGGTACGTATGAAAAATAAACAAATAGGAAAGTCATCAAACATCAAACATTTTTGAAATACAAACAACATGTGTGAAGCGTAACCATAATATTCCTTTTTAACAATTAATAACTGGGATAATAAATATTTTTTTTATAAGATTTGTGCTTATCGTATGCAGAGTGTTTTTTAATAACTGTCCTATATTTCGCATACCGATTCTTCAAGTATTTAAAAAAAAAAAATCGTATTATCAACGGCTCGCAAGGGCATCCCAAGAGAGATAAAAATTTTTTGCTTATTGTCGCTAATGATTTTCGGTATCCAATATTTTTCGAGAGTAATAAGATGTGTACTAAATTTGATTTTAAAAAATAATTAAGCAATATTACAGTTAGATAGTTCGTGGCATTTGTGGATGTTGTCTTGGGAATCGAGGACAGTTCCAGTCCTATTAAAATCCGATAATCTTCCACGACAAAGACATCGTCGTCTGAGCCGACGACGTTAAAAGCCTTCACGGACAGCAGCGACGTTCCGACTAGTTAGATAATGGGGGGTATGGCGTTTTCGTGGCGAATTCGTCCCTTAATCAATCTGCGATGGAAAAACGTGCCCGCCACCCAACCGCCGCCACTCGAGAAAATAACGGTGCCGTTTCAAACGAATCGTAAAGAAACGCCACCGAACAAAAACATCCCCTTTTACGACGGTTTCCGAGGGCGAAACAATCAGTCGAGGCGTCCATTAAAGGCACCGCCGCCCGGCGGTGAGGGCGGTTGCAATTTTCTCGGTTCTAGACCGGCGGTTTATGACCGCGCTCGTGATGACGCTCTAAACGCGACTCTGTCGTTTTTATTTGGAAAATCTGGCGATACGGCGTGTTCCAAATT